GCCGCCTCAAGTAACTACGACAACTGAGATAAGGACAAGATCTGGACGATTAATCAAGCCACCTAAGAAGTTTGATATTGGGTCATAGTGATGAACATTGTAGCCTATACTTACATTTTTAAAAAAAAAAAGGGGAAAGATGTTATGATATCTAGAACTTTCTGGAATTTCTGTACATTTGCTTTTTAGATAAGAACATTCTAGAATGTCAGTTTGCTAATCTCTATTATTATCCCAAACGTTATGTAAGTCTCTATAAATAGACTGATTATGTATTTGTTTGGAACATTCTAGAAATCCCCTCTTTAAGGTATATAAGCAACCCCTAGACTAGTTTATCTGTCTGTTAGTATGTCACTAGCTCTATGAGTGTAACCTACTCCTGAAGAGATTAAAGTTTGTGTTCTACGAGACCTGGTCGACTCAATGTTCCTCATTGAATGACAAAACTGTCTCTGTAAATGTTCTACCGAATTATATTTCTTTATTGATTGTTAGTAGTCTCAAAAGTGTAATTTTCATCGCTTTGCCGTTTGTTTTCAGCCGTTCATAAACATCGCTTGCAGTAGTACTCAAAATGCCAAGCGTATCAAATGCGTTTCAAGATTACACATGGTTATAAAACCATTAATAAAAAATAGACTCAATAAATTCTTTATCACGTTGAAGTGTAACTCTTTTAAAATTTCTTCGCAAATTTGGCCCTTGTCAAAATTAAAGTTAGAACCGGCTGGCCATATAGGTGATTTTGGAAACTTTTTGAACGGTTTTGCTAATTAAAAGTCCACGTATGCATGGATGGTCCTGAATATTGAATGAATGCAATTTGTCTTGAAAAGTTGTGAAATACTGCATTTTGTACGAGGTCTGTATGATAAAAACAGCGCCTCATAGTACTCTTTCTCCTCAGATGTGGTCTATAAAAAATAATAAAAGATCTGTTTGCAGGCACCCAGATTTATTGGCAAGAGTTTGTAAACTTGTCAAACGCAAAAAATTAGGTCTGATTTGTTTTTCAAGAATTTTTTTTCCACGCCTTGTCTACTGTGATCAAGAGCTATTATTGCTCTTAAATGTGACCGAAGACTATTTTTTGGGTGTACATATAAGGCTATATCAACTCGATACAAGATTTGTTTCACTCCAAAATCACTTAGCTTTTCCCTCAAAAGTCACATGAATGTGCCCTTAAGTTAACTGATTTGTGGAATACAAAATTATTGTTTGATTTAAAGTTATAAATTTAACAATGGGAGCTTCGCTTTTAGCTGTGACTAAATCTATATATTATTATTAGTTATTGTTGTTATTAACAAGTTGTACATTTTATCCTGTTGGTGTTTTTGTACTACCTGGACGTTCAAGGAGTGGACCTTTTTCCTGTTGATGTATACTTCTGGCTTCTTTTCTGGGGCTCTGATCTTTATGTGTGTTCCATCAATTACACCTATCACCCCAGGTATTCCCCCTCCTTCCTCGAAGCTGGTTCTGATGGCATGCTTCTGATTTTCTAAAGAATTATGTCAAGATAAGCCACTATCAGAACAAGTGAGCGGCACGTTATGAGCTTAAACCAAATATAACTCACCATTTGGTCATCTGATGTATCGCCCTGAAAGATCAATAGCTGTCTGGTTAATTCTCTGAAGAACATGGTTAACGCTGCTAAGTGTGATGTTAAATCTGTCTGCCACTGTTTGAGTGGGTTCTTCGTTTGCAGTGCTCCACAGGAATGCTAAGATTTGTTTTGCAGGTGGAATAGGTGCTCTTCCAGATGAATTACCGATTGGTATTCTTCCTGTGGTCATGACCTCTTGAGCAAATAGCTCAAAAGTCTGCCTGGTCATTCGAAAGTGACTCTTGAACTCATCAGGAAAATACGACAGAACAGTGGTTTCAAAAAAATGGGCACTCGATTTAAATGTCGTCTCATGGAACAACATGCAACACTCAAATGAATAACATCATCGCTATCATCGAAAAACTCGTCCACTTTAATTTTGCTATCGTCTAACAACTCCGAAGCCAATAAAACCGGCATAGAGTCGGCCATTTTTTGCTTTGGCATTTGTTATGTTTGTATTTGGCGCAAATCAAACGTGCGGTAGGTTGGGTTGGCTCTGTGCAACTGGAATATACCGTTCCATTGAACACGTAGAATTTCCGAAATTTCAAACCTGAATTTTTGTTGAATGGAAAGCTCCCGTTATTCCTTGTCCATTAGGGACGTGATTACTTTTAAGTAACACGACTTATCATTTGCCCAAACAAAGCCAACTAACAAGTATGCGGTTTAAGTTCCGCTCAAACCGCATACTTGTTAGTTGGCTTTGTTTGGGCAAATGATAAGTCATGTTTGTCGTTAGTACAGTTTGTCCAGTTTATCTTTGAAGTTGTTTGGTCAAGCTCTTACAAGCGGCACTGTTATGCAAGTGTTTAAGTTTCTTTTGAACACCAAACCCTTTCGATAAGACTCCTTTAGCTTACACCAGTTTTTTCA